GTGCTGGTGGCTGCGAAGAGCAGGTGGAAGGCCACGGGCAGGAAGGGCAGGTATCGCATCAGCTGGAAGCTCTGCCCACGCAGGACAGCCCGGCTCAGCAGGTCGGAAAAGCCCAGCCACTCCAGGGCCAAGCACACCGAGCTGAAACTGGAGTCCCGCAGCTTCATGTTCAGGAAATTGTCGTACAGCCCCTGGAAGCGGACACGGGGTTAGAGACAGCTCGAGGCCGGGCAGACGGTCCTGTCAGAGCGCACTGCTGGGATTCTGAGCATCCCACCAAGCCCAGCTCAAGCACAACACCCCAACGCTCCACCCAAAATTAGCACGATCCTAGCGCAGGGAGGGATTTCCCAAGGCACCCTCCTCCACCCACGACTCCCCCCCTCCCCCGGATCAGGAGCCACTCTTGCTCCAGAGGAAGGGGCCCAACTCTTCCTCCTACCCCAAGCTGCTCTACCTGGGTGAGCTTCTCCTGCTCCCCCGAGGAGATGGCGAGGTGCAGAATGTGGTGGAAGCGGTGGGAGGACACATTGAAGCCAGCCGTCCCCCCGAGGTGCGACAGGTCCTCATCGCCCACCAGGAGCTGGGCTGGCAAAGCGGGGTCCATTCCTAACCGGTGCCTGGGGGGGGAGCCCAAAGGGAAGAGCTCAGGGTGCTGTGGCGCCCAACGGACCAGCAAGGAAGATTTGGACCTTTGCAAACTGGACTGAAGGCAATACCAAAGTATTGGGCACTGAAAAGAGTGACCGAAGAGCACCCAGACACACAAACCTGCTGAGGAAGCCAGGTCTGCTGCAGGGCAGAGCAGCTCTCCAAGACCTTTCAGGTTTCTTCCACCGCAGGTCTTAACAAGCAGGTCAGGGGATACCACAACGCAGCGGGCCCCAAGCAGACACCAGACCTAACGAATCCCCCTCTTTTACCTTTGGACCTTTGGGAGCTGGAAGATCTCTTGCCAGATGGAGAAGAGCCCCTTGTTTTGGTCCTTCAAGCCAATCTTCATCGTCTGCACCATCTGCACACTCAGCTCCTTCTGGCCTCGGCCGTGTAAGAACTGCAATACAAGCGAGGGACTGGGGAAAACGGGCACGTGGGGAGGGAAGGGATGCCCACAACAGCTAGCTGGAAAGCCAGAGACACCTCACTTTCCCTTGCTTTGTAGGGGAATCGAGGTCAAAAGCAACACAGGGGACAGGATAGACACTTTAGAGATCTGCCTGGGACAGTTTTTTTCCCCTCTATCCCCACCTGAGCCCAAATCAAATCAAGAGATGCTGCAAGTCCGCGTCCCCCAGGGACGTGCCGGTGACGCCAGTACCTGCAGGGTGTTTATGCAGGAGCGGATGTCGTTCTCCGTCTTCTCGCACAGCGCCAGCAGCGCGCCCGTGTCCGCCCGCATGCCCTGCCGCAGGGCGATCTGCAGGAGAGGGGGGTGAGCGGGGAGGGCTCGCCGGCCGCGGGGGGCGAGAGGAGCCCTCGGCCGCGCCGCACCTCGCAGAGCCGCTGGGCGAGCCGGGATGGAGCCGTCTGAGGGAAGTTTAGCAGGAACGATTGCTGCCGCAGCGGCCGGAGGGCAGGGACGTACCTGGCAAAGGGAAGCACAGGGATCTCTGAGCGACCATAGCAGAGGAAGAAATGCAGCCATTAACGCTCCGCTCAAAGACAGATGGGTTATTTAGCAGCTGCCGGTACACCCCTGCACGCTCAGGCATGCACAAGTGCAACTGTAGGCTCACACCTAGCTACAAGTCACTCCAGCAGATACAAAATGAGGGGGGTTCACGAAAGCTGAGCACGTTGCAGTTTTACTTTTCCTAAGGTACTGCTAAGCCGCAGGTCTGACGGCAGATAACTGGGCGCAGGGAGGCTTTGGTTGGAGGCAACAGCAGCTGCCTCCTCGCTTGGGGCAGGGGTCTCAGCTCGCCATCCCTCCTAGGACACGCAGGTGATACTAACTGGTCGCAGGCGATACTAACTGGTCGTTGCAGATGCAGATGATGGGCCTGAGCAGCAGTCCGCCCTCACGTCGCCTCCTCCGGCCTGTGCCGGCTGTTCCCTCGCCCTCCGCATCCTTACGGTGAATGATGTTTAGCAGCACGTTGATAGATGCCTGGGGGGGGCGGGGAAAAAAAGAAATCAAGGACAGAAGGGATGAATTGTTGCTGTTCGGAGGCAAAAAAACGCTCCTAAAATAGATGAACTGCTAGGAGGGCAATAATTAAGTGGTTAATGCAAAAGGTGGCCAGATGCAGGCTGGGCTTACCGCGGGCGCGCCGTCTATCTCATCGATGATCAGGCAGTTGGGCTTCTCGTTGGCGCCCAGCACCGACTTCATCTGAGTGGCAGCTTCAATGCGGGTTTTGAAAACCTCGGGGCTGCGGTCGTCACTGCAAGACAAGCCAGTGCCAGGCCGCTGCGGCACCGCCCCCCCGCCGGCACCGCACCCACCGACTTCATCTGAGTGGCAGCTTCAATGCGGGTTTTGAAAACCTCGGGGCTGCGGGCGTCACTGCAAGACAAGCCAGTGCCAGGCTGCTGCGGCACCGCACCACCGCCGGCACCGCATCACCTCCGGCACCTCCTGAGGCAGGGCAGGGCTGGGTGGCCGGTGCAAACTCACCTGGCGTTCATCTCGACGGCGTTGTACCCTGCGTGTTTGGCAATGACGTGGGCCAGCGTGGTCTTTCCCAAGCCCGGCGGGCCACAGAGCAGGGCTACCTGCGGCAGAGAGGTTAACGTCAGCCCGGCAGGCAGCGAGGCAGGGCTTCCTCCAGCACCCACCAAGGCTGCCGCGCAAGGGGACGAGGCTTTGCAGCCTGCAAAACGATCTTGGGAGCGCCTGCACTGGTTTGGAGACACACAGGGAGAAGGGAAAGTCACTGGAGGAAGGAGAATATAACAGAAACTCTGAGAGGTGACAGGGACATCCTGGCAGCATCTCTCCTGTATATGTTGAAGTTTGCAGGGCAACAGATAGAAAAGACTGAACAAAATCGCTTCCAGAATGACACTCCTGAGAAGCAACGCTGTTAGGATCTGGTTTTGTTTCCCCTTTTTTATATCCTCTCACTGGACAGGCTGAAGCTGGTTAGCTGGCCTGGGTATGTTATCTCTGCTCCCTTTACCATTTGAGCATCATCGTTCTTTTCTGGAGGCAGAAACTCTTGCTCAATGGCATGTCTCATCTGTCCCTAATAAAAAAAGTGAAGACCAACCTCTGCTAAAAAGGGGGTGACTTTCCTCAACCGGCCCATCTAATTTGGCTGGAGAAAGTCCGTTCCTCTCCCCTTGTTATCACATTACCCAAGCAAAAACAGAAGGAGAAATGACAAAACCCCACGTTCTCTAAGGACAATCAATGAATTCAATTTATCCGGGATCTCTGGAAGACTCTGCTCCTCACCATGGTGGTGGGATGAAGGGGACTGGAGAGGAGACCCACCACAGCAGCCTCCTGTCCTGTTCACCTTGTATTTGGGTCTCCTGTGCTGGTCCAGCTCAGCCTCCAGAATCTCCTCTGTGAGCTGCACCTTCGTTTTCCACTTATTCTGCTGCTCCTTGGGCTGGTTGAATGGAGGATGAGCCTCGGTGCTGGGCTTGGCCTTCTTCGCAGTCTTCTCCTTCCCGAACACCACAGTGTCCCACAGCTTGAGCCATTTCAGAAGGCAGCGGTTTGTGTACTGCATGTTGGGCAAGAAAGCAAGCAGACCCCGTCAAACCTCGGAAGGAGCTGCCTAAGGACAGAGGAAGCCCTCTCCTTTATGGCTTAAATACCGCTGTGGCATTCAGAGGAAGGAGCCGAAACTGGAAAAGCAACAAGCATGTCTGCCCAGACCCCCCTGCCATGGAGGAGGCTGCCCAGGTTTCCACGTGGCATCTCTGTGGGACAGCATGGGAACACTGTTTCCTTTCCCAACTCGGCCACCATCCTGTGGGCCAACCAAGGACAAGTCACATCGGCCCCATCCCTGCTGTCAGTCGTCTGTCTCGGCTCAACCCAGCACTTCTCAGCCTCTTCCATAATTTCCAATTCCTTACAAAACTTCTAATATTCCAAAAAAATCAAGATGGCCAACAGTTCCTGGCTAAAGTCCACCAGACCTTTTTTGTCTGATTTTGGTCATCTTTCATAGTCTCTCTTGTCAGAAGGTCCACAGCCTACAGCACAAAAAACCCTGCCCCGAGCTCTCGGCAGCAGGACTGCTCCCGGGCAGGGGGAGTACGGACAGAGCCCCCCAGCCGGTGCTTCCGAAAGCCCCACAATCGAAGGCAGCACCATAAAACCTCGATCCTTACAGAAGTGGTAAACCCACCCGAATCCCAAGCCCCCACTCATCCTAACACCTCACATCATCACTGAGCAGCTCCATGTAGCGCCGCGGAGTGAACTTGTCCACCCAGAGGCAGTGCAGTGCAGACTCCTCCTCATCTGCCGGCTCCGCTTCCCCACGAGGCTCCGGGCTCTCGGCACTGGTCTCACTCTCGAGGCAACTGTAAGAAAGAACTAATTTGCCCCAAACCACCCAGGGAGTCAGGGCAGGGCTGGGAATTGCACCCAGACTTGCCGACCTCAAGCAAAGAGGCTCCTCTGCTTGCAGGTCCTAAAACCTGGACCCCACCGGAGCATCTTGGGAGCTGCATCCAACAGCGTGGCAGAAATCGGAATGGGATTTCATCCTAACATCTCACCTGTTTATTATCTCCGTCAGCTGCTGCGACGCCTCCAGAACGTGCCTCCGACGCTTGAGCACAAAGAGGGCGAGAGGGGGGTCAGAGATGCCCCACTAACCCGTGGCCGGGGAGAGCAGGGATTTGGGAGCCAATGCTGTGGCTATCCAGGGGTGGCAGGGGAAGATGTGAAGGTTGGTATAAGATGTGATACCTCTTCATCCACTTGTTCCTTCAAGTAGGAGAAAGGCACTCCCAGCAAGTGGAGCGGCCTGCGTGCATTCCAGCCCAGGGAATCTGGGAGCTACGAGGAGCAGAGGACACACACCGATGTTCGTACCAATGCCCAGCACAAACTTTTCATGCTTCACCAAAGATCCCCTCCTGAATTAGATGGAGGTCACAGAAAAGCAAGCCTGGCCTTGAGACTCCTCCTTACCTCCACTCCTGTCCTGGAGGGATCATCCCTCACGACCATGAAGACCCTGGTGCCCTCGGTGGATGTCACGTTGATGTAGTCCTCCAGGATGGGTGGCCGCTTGAGGACCCGCTTCTTCTCGGAGGGCGGCGTGGTCTGCAGAGGTACCATGCCGCTCATCTCCAGGTGGTCTGAGCTGGAGAACTCCAAGTTCCTTTAGCAGGGGTAAGGGAAAGTGCCCTTGAACCTTTGGTGGGATTCAAGGGCTTTTTCCCTCGCTCCCGCCCAAAGTGGGGTTCAAGGTGGCCAACCTGGCAGTCTGGGGAGCAGAAGGTGCCTCTGGGCCAGCATCCCAGAGGCCATCAGGAGCCAACTCATCATCCGCCCCAAAGCTGAGCTTCTTAACAGCTTCCAGGCGCTGTCGCTTCGGCTTCGGGGCTGTGTGAGACACCAGGCCAGGAGGAAGAAGAGGAGAAGCATCGTTGACTGGTACCCGGCTGCTCCTCCAGCAGCACCCCGCAGCCCTCGGGGACAG